TGCGAATAATGGCAATAATGTACAGAATCATGTATTAATTCCAAGAAATTCTTAAGTGATTTTGTATGTTATTGGGAAGGATATTTTGACAGACATTTTTTTTCCACCGGTTTTACAAAAAATCCTTGGAAAGGAAATGTTTGTGCTGTGCTTGAATGGTACCCATTTAATTGTCTCTGGTCGTGCGCTAACCTAATTGCTCTTTGAATGCCTTACATATAAATTACGAGTTTGTTTTTATAAAGACGAATCCTCAAAAAAAAAAAAAAAGGGAAAAGACAGTCACATAGAGAAACATTGTTCTTATAACTCCAAATTAGTCTTATATTTTGGCGAATCGAATTTGAGATTTTAATAACGTACATTTTTATTCTTTATTATTATTTATTATTACTTTTTATTATTACTTTCACATAAACATCCGACGTTCCCAAAATCCGGAACTCTATATAAAAAACAATCACCTTGTCACTTAGAATGGATTATTTAATATTGGTTTATAGTAAATCGTATTCGTTAAGATCTGTTAACTTAGGCTGATAAGATGGATCTAATTAATCAACCAACCGTCGATATTTAAAAAATTTCTTTTATTTTCATTCGATTCGTATTTATCTCATCGAATAAATTGTACATTAACGTCTGATCAGATTGAACTTCATTTTTATTCTTGCCTTTGACTCCTTGTTCGTCTTCTTTGTGTGGATTTACTATTATCGGTATCTTTTTTTTTGTTGGATACGGTTGTTTTCTTCTTGGAAATTCCGGATTCTTCGTTAACCGACTCATTCTTACCTCCCACCAAAGTTTTCTTCTTTTTCTTGTTATCATCATCTTTCTCCCCATCACCATCTTCGTCCACCTCGATTTTTCTCTTCTTACTGATGATATCAACATTGTACGGCGTGGCATTAAAGATCGGTAGACTCGTAGACGTGCTTGTCTTGATAAGCAGGGATTGAATATTCCTCCATTTTCTCGGTATCTTATCGACTATTCTTGGTATACCGATTTCGATATTTTCGGATAGTTGTGACGCCGTCATATCCGTTGTACCTATTTTAATCGCACTTGTATGATTTGACAAAATTAATAAATCAACTCCAGGAAGTTGTCATCCGTTGAATAATCTATAGCATAGAACTTAGCTTACTTACAGACATGTTCCCGGATTAAAATACATGAAGGTGGAACCGCAAATTTTGTCGATTTCTTTTTCGAGATTTTGAGGTTTCCTTAACTCCACGGGGATAGGTTGCCTATTATTATGTCATCGTTACCAAAACCCTTTATTCAATTACATAGATAACGCTCAAGAATAGTTATCAAATATCGCCTACTTTTTCTTCTGGAAGAAATTCTTACCCAACGGAATAGGAAGCAGATTCGTGATCCTGTTGTCCGCCAAAAACAAATCGTAGGAATCGCACAACTTGCGCTTTGCTTCATACGGTTTGTACTTTTTACGAAGCTTTGACAACCCAATCACCTGATGAAGAAAGTACATTTTTATAAACTGGCGTATCTTTGGAAAACTTCAATTGCAAAACCGACTACCTTCTTAATATGCTTGATGCCTTTAGTAGCCACCAATTCTTTGAACTCCTTTTGTGGGTCTTTTGTAAATAAACATATTTCAGTCGACGAATTGTATAATGGATGTTTTATTGGGCTAAAAAAAAAAAATAAAAAATAAATTGATTTTCTTTGACCAAATGAAGAAAGACAGGTGAATTGTTCTAAAATCATTGAAAATCATACATTATGACAGGTTTGTCGTTATTATTATCCAAGAACCTGTGAGTAGAAACAATGAGCCAGACGAATTGTACTTGATCAGCCAAGATATTTTGTTCGTCTTTCTCGTTTTTTTGCTTAGAAGCGTAATGGAGAAGCGAAGCGGCTGCTTTTTGAATCTGTCCATTGATTAAAATTGACCAATTAAAATGAATATGCATAAAACAAATTATTTTCGTAAGGTCAACTATGATAATTTACTAGTTCTTTGTCAAGTTCCGGAATTTCATGTTTATGAACCATTGCGACGAGCTCGCGAGTTTAAGATTAGATATGTAAAGTTGTAGATCTTAGCATTTCCGTTATTATCATCGACCACCAATAATATATAATAATTTTTTTTTTTTTTTTTTTTGTTACCTAAACTTAAAAGGATATTTTTAATATATCGATCGGTATCCAAAAAATATACTGTATATTTATTCAAAGGAATAATAATGCTTTAAAATAGTAAAATCACGTATTATATAAATTTTTTTATACAGTTTAGATTTATTATATTTGGTTTTTTCGAACTTAACTAATTAAAATTGTTTAAAAAATATTTTTATTTAGAAAAATATAAATAAATATAGTTATAATGTATAATAAAAAAATAAGATAGGAAGAAAAAAAATCAAATATCAAAATCTTAATGTTGCAATATTAAAAATAATATACGTATATTTAAATTTTTGTTTCAGTATAGCTTGTAATTTTAAGAAATAAAAAAATTTTTATTTTTTAAAAAAAAAAAAATAATTTATATTAGTAAATAAAAACTTTTTTATAGTAATCTTAAGTCTGATTATTTATAATTAAGAGAATTATTTGATTTTTACTATTTTATCACTGAATAAAAATATTTAAATATATTTGTAACAAAATTTATTATCCAAAATAATTTTATATAAAAACTTATTTACTATTATATAATCTTATTACTTGAATATTTTTTTAAAATACAATAACTCATAATAATAATAATTTTTTATTAAATTGAAATAAAAAATTTTTCTTTAATCTTAAAAAAAAAAATTGATATAAGAGAAAAAATAAAAATATTAAATTACTTCTTAAGAAAAAAATATCTTATTATCTTACTTTTTTACTATAATTAATGATATCATTGAATTTGTTATTATATAAAATAAAATAAATAAGATTTTATATTTTTTATATTTTTTACTATATATTAATTAATCAAATTAAATTAAGATAAATAAAATTTTTAAAAAAAAAACAAAAAAAGGTTTAAATACTTAAAAAATAAAAAGAAAATTTAAAAAAAAGCAAAAAGAATTTTAAAATCAAATATTTATTTTTTATTTTTTAATATAAAAATAAAATATTGAAATATTTTGTTTTGTTAAAAAAAAATTTATTGCTTTTTTATATATTTTTTTATATTAATTTTTTTATTATTTTTTTATTTTTTTAAATAATAAATAATATGATTTTTTAATAATAAAAATAGTAACAATAAAAAATTTATATTAATAAAACTATTGAAAATATAATAAAAATTAAATATTTATTATTATTTTATTTTAAAAAACTTTTAAGTTTAAATTATAAAATATTGGTTTAACTTTAAATAAAACTAATTGAACTAAATTAAAAATAAATTTTAATATAGTTAATTAAAATTGTTTTTTAAAAGAAATTAATTTATATATTAATTCAGTAAATATTAAGATTATAATTTTTATAAAAGATATAATAATAAAAAAAAAAAAAAACTCTCACCCATTCACTACTGATTTCTTGAAAATTTTCTTATATGGTAATTTTCTTGAAAGAAGTGCTTTTCTCTCTCTCTTCAATATGCCAACTATGCCATAAACTCAAGGACATAAGGACTTTAAAGACTACTGTTGCATCGGGATAGGACCTCTGATCAAAGGTCAAACAAGTTTGGGAGTCTTGTTTGTTCTTTGATTGCATGGGGAAAAGCTTGTAGCAGTCCTCTTTCTTAACTTTGTCTTTATGCACCTTCTCCTTTATTACTTTCATGATAACCATTCTCCTCATTATCCTCAATATTACCAATTTTTTTCTAAAAGTATATTCAATTAAAGTTTTGGGTTCTCCTACTTGTCT